ATCAAAGAAATAAATGAAGCAGATCCTTTGACCAAACGTGTGCTAAACAGTTGTGGTATCTTCCCTTCTGCCCTGGCCTATTCACATTTCCTATATCCTTCTATCACGCCTTCACTGTCACAATTTTTTACTTGCTTGATTAAATATGGTACAGTGTGCCCTTTTGAGCGGTTTTTATGAGAAACTTCCGCACTCCACGCTGGCCTTCTCACCCCCCTTCGTCCTTGTACTGGTAATATTGATCAGAATCTGCCATATTGTTACATAGTCCTCCTTGCCTAGGTCTCCCCACAGTCTCTCTCTTGCCCCGTAAGATCCATCTGCCCTCTCCCTGGTTCACATATTTCACTTAACCCTTGCCACCCCATCTGTGCTACTCGAGAAATTATTACTCCCCCATGCGTATTGGTGACTAATTCAAGCCAAAAGTTTCTGAGTAAGTCTCATGGTCACGCCTTTTCCGCATGGAGAACGTCTTTATGAAACCTACTGTCAGCGCCCTAGCTCCCATCGCCGCAGCGTCTATCCTGTTTCTACATATAATGCCAAGTCTATAACTTTCCATGCCTTAGTCTCTTGTGTGCCAACACACAAATGAAAGGAGACTGCGACTACGCAAAAGGTCACACCATCTTGGTCTTCATACCTTCGATTACCATATCATAGTTTATTTGAAGCATGCATGTTTAATTCATATAATTATATTTACTTCTGTTTTCATGCCTCTAGTGCTACTCATGCACTGCAGCAGGCTATAGGACCTGGCGTCGGTAACAATCCCCTACGTCGACATCGAACCTATTTTGAAGATGGGAATGACATGGATCGGGACCTGCGTCCATTGCCATCATCCTATCGGATCGAATCTGTAGTAAATTGGACTGGGATGGCAAAAGATTCCAGCATGCCAGATATTGCGTCTGCCTGCACCGGGAGGACTGGTCTTGAGTCCAGACACCGTATGCTAGCATCTGCAGGTGTTGGAAAGACAGATAGCGGTAAGGCAAGAGTTGCTGTTAACGATGGTGGACTAACACGTGAAGAGGTCACTCAACTGGGCCAGGCGCGAAGACAAGAACTCTTGCATGAAATGGAGAGGAGGAAAAGAGGCGAAATCATCATTCGTTTAGCTGACATAAAGGTATACTTTTGTACATACCGTAGTAAGGTTCATATTAAGTAGACTCGTTGATCGAATCTTGGTCGCAAAATAAGTTCAATAAAATAACTTAAATCATTTTTGAATTTAGACAGAGAGACCTAAGTAACAGATTATTTTGACAACCATCCTCGACAAATGCATCTGGCAATTTAATTAATGCACACTACTAAGTTTTAAAAATTGAATTTGTTTCAAAATCATTTTTTACGTTATTAAAAACTCCACAACGTTAAAATGTCTCTTGTGGCCACATTAAATCACAAGGCTTTAGTAATAAACACATATATGGGATAAATTTTGGTTTTTAATTTGCCACGTATATATGGTAATGATTCATTGAATAGTTTATTTAGTAGGAATATGTGCCAGCAAAACTAGTTGTTCTG